CTTCTACACCACGTGGCTTCTTGATAAGGATAACCTTGTCTTATGCGGGGTTGCTGACGTGATGTCTGCGGCTCCGCTGTGGCTGCCGCCGGTTGTGGAGGGAGTGGCAGTGCGTGCCGCCGACGTCGCGGACTGGGCTTGAATGAATGAACTGGGGAGGGATGGACTTGGACTGGGGAGGGATGGACTTTGACTGGGGAGATGGACTGGACCAGGAGTGGCGGAGTCGGGTGGGGAATTGTACCCGGGTGGGAGATAGATGTGAAAGGCAGGGGAGGCCAGTGCGGTCGAGGTCGCAGTGGATTGCAGGACGAGTCCAGGCGTACTGTACATCGATGAAGGAGTCCGGGTGTGCGTTATGAAGGATATGTAGGTATGGGATACTAAGGGCCAGCCTGAGTGAAGCTCGTGGGCTGACTGCGAGAGAGTCATGGGCATAGAGCACACACCACTGGACGTTGTCCATACAACGGTGGCTGGCAGGTGTGCAGAGTACGACATGGGCCCTAGTTTAGAGGATGGGCCTGTATATCGGTGTAGGTCAGCGGGAGGAGACGGTTTCCCATACGGCGGGCGCAGGAAGAGGAGCGAAGGCTTATAGCTATAAGTAAGCGCTGGTCTCGACACGGCGTCTTGTCAGTCAGAGCGGCCGTCGCATTTCAGAGCACGAAAAAGATAGGTGTAGCTCGGAAAGGCAGGCGATAGTACCAAGTCCTGACTATCAAGCCGGGAACATGCCAAACAAAGGAGTCGCATGCGATGAACGAGCTTGACAAGTCGATACGTGCGTGCACCAGGCGTGCACTGTGACCACTGACAAGTTGAAGAAAAATTTGTGGCGTCGGAGCCGCGACGCCACGCATCGATCACGATCGCAACACGTTCCCAACCTGAACCGTCACGGTTGTTGTGCACAGCGAGCGCGCAATGAGCAGTCCATTTGCTACGCTATCCCGAAGCTCCCCGCATGAGCAGCAGCCGTCAACGCCGTGCCCATCGATGCCCTGCCGTCGGTACTCCGGTCTGCTCACTATCGCCCTGCATGCTCTTCCCTGCATCCTATCCCACCCTATCCCATTCGCGCTCTGTCCTATCCCGCCCGACGGGGCGCCGCGGCATCTGCTTCTCGTCGACTTATCTCCTCCTCCTGAGGGAGGAGCCCTCGTCCCGTCTCCCGGGTCGCTACGCGTCTGCGTCGTGAGGTATAGATACGGGCGGATAAGGTTGGAGCGACGAGATTGGCAAGCGCAGCGCGATGGGGGGCTGATACTACTGGTCAATGATGACGTTCTGTCGGAGAGATGCGTGCCCCCTCCCTCCGCTCTTGACTTTTCATTTTCGCGACCGACTGACCGACTGACCTTGCGCAGTCAGACGCCCTCGCTCACGAGTTATCCCTATCTATAGATAAGACGCTAAGCGTAACCCTTCGCCGTCTTCGACCATGCTCGTACACGTCTACAGCCAACGTCGACAATTGAATGCTCGTGTCGGATGATTTGGTCGACCTTTATGGCTTTTACCCGCAAGGTTGTATCGATTGTCAAATAAATTCTGTGCACCCGCTTAATTCTGTGCACCCGCTTCATCATGTCTACGCCCTATGCGCGTAAGTTAAGTCCTCAGCACGGCCTGTGGTCGTCCAGTCATATCCCGTGCGTACTCCCTCATTATCTCCTCCTCTCCTCGTCCATGAAGTCACGTTGACCTATTATCTATCTATTCAGAACCACCATTCCCCGCGGAGTAATCGTACGCGACCCCGCGCTGCAATCGTACGCGACCCCGCGCTGCAATCTTGCCCGACCCCGCGCTGCAATCTTGCCCGACTCCGCTGTGCAATCATACGCGACCCCGGGGTCTATCTTGACAGCTTCTCTTACATATCGTCACCTCACTTTGCATGCCCTTCTTCCCCCCTGTTTCCCGAACCGGGCGCTCGCGCTTCTTCGGCAGATAGAACTCGGGCGCGAGGACAGATAGAACGCGGGTGCGAGGGCAGATAGAGCTCCCCACGGCATAATGGGGGCCCCCTCGCCCCACTCCTCGCCCTCGCCCGACACTCGCCCGACTCGCCCTCGCCCGACACTCGCCCTCGCCCGACACTCGCCCTCGCCCGACACTCGCCCGACGCGGGCTATCTGCAGGGTGGTATATAAAGAGGGAGCGGTGCCGGGGTGTAGATCCATCGCCTCCGGTGCGTTCTTCTTGGAGCCCCATTGGCGATTTCTCCTCATCGAGCCCAACGCCGTCTCTCCTCTCCTCATCGAGAATCAAGGACGACTCTCCTCATCGAGAAACAAGGACGACTCATCGAGAATCAAGGACTCCTTTCATCGAGAATCAAGAACGCAACATCATGTTCATCTACGACTTCTTCGCCTACCTGCTGGGTCTCCTGTGGGGCGCGTCCCGCCCGACGCCTCCGGCGTATACGCCGCCTGCGCCGACTGAGGAGAAGCGTGCGTTTCTCTCGTTCTGCCCTAGCTCGCGTCTATCCATCGCTCTCGCTTGTCCATCAACTTCGTCTATCTCTAGTCCTCGTCTATCCCTAGTCCTCGTCTATCCATTGTCCTCGTCTATCCCTCGCTCTCATCTATCCATTGTCCTCATCTATCTATTGTCCTTGTCCATCCCTCGCTCTCGCCCATCCCACGTCCTCTGCCATACGCTGCCCTCGTCCTCCTCATATCCTTTGCCTCTGCCACACGCTAACCTTGTCCCCCTCACATACGCTGACCTCGTCCTGCCACACGCTGACCTCGTCCCCTGCCACACGCTGACCTCGTCCCCTGCCACACGCTGACCTCGTCCCCTGCCACACGCTGACCTCGTCCCCTGCCATACGCTGACCTCGTCCCCCCCCCTCTAGTCGAGTACGCCGACCTCGCCATCATCGATCTGTCCAAGGCGGCCACCGCAGAGGGCCGCAAGGCGCTCGCGGAGGAGGTGTCGGAGGCGCTCCGCAGCCGTGGGTTTTTCTATGTTGTGAACCATGGGTATACGCAGGAGCAGGTGAGTGTTTTGTGCTTGTGTTTGCTAGGGTTGAGGCGGCGGGCGGTGGGCGGTTTGGGCGGTGGGCGGTTTGGGCGGTGGGCGGTTCGTCCGTCTGTCGAGAGTCTCTGTCCATCGAACCGTGAACCTCCCTGATGATTCATCATCCCCTCGTCGCTCGTCGTCCCTCCCTATCTCTCCGCTCGTCGTCCCTCCCCATCTCTCCGCCCGTCCAACACGCCAACTAACGCACCTCTCCCAGAACCACCGCATCTTCAGCATCGCGGACGTCACCTTCGAGGAGGTCTCCGAGCGCGAGAAGCGCCGGTACTCGGGCAAGTCGCAGGCCGTGTACGAGGGGTACAAGCCGAAGCAGACGTGGGTGAGTGGGGCGCGTCCTTGTTCTCCTTCTCCTACTCCTTGTTCTCCTTCCGACTCCTTGCCCTCGCGTCCGACTCCTTGCCCTTGCTTCATGCTCCTCCACTTCGCGCCACCCATGCTCCTCCACTTCGCGCCACCCATGCCCTTGCTTCACCTTGCCCTTGCTTCACCTTGCCCTTGCTTCACCTTGCCCTTGCTTCACGGCTCCCCTAGTAACCGACCAGCTCTCCCTGCCAATCCATTCCTCTTTTGCTAATTTCCTCTTTTGCTAATTTCCTCCTTTGCTAATTGCCTCCCCCAGAAACTCGCCAGCGGCGTCCGCGACCAGATCGAGCACTACAACATCAACCACGACATCTCCCGCACCGAGCACCCGGCCCCGCTGCGCCCCTACCTCAAGGAGATCGACGACTTCGCGCGCCACTGCCACTTCAACGTCCTCTACCCGATTCTCCGGCTGCTCGCGCTGGGCCTGGACCTGCCGGAGGAGACGCTGGTGGGGGAGCATAAGTTTGAGGAGGAGAGTGAGAGCTCGGGTGAGTGGGCGGGCGTTTATCGTGTGGAAGCGGAGACTAAATGCATACCTTGGCAGTTCGTTTCATGAAGTACCACCCGCGTACGGATTACGAGGAGCTGAAGACGAAGAACGTCTGGCTCAAGGGCCACACCGGTGCGTTGCGCGTTGTCCTGCCTACCGCTCTCTGCTCACCCCTCGCCAGACATCGGCTCCATCACGATCCTCTGGTCCCAGCCCGTCGGCGGCCTCCAGATCCTCTCCCCCGACGGCCAGTGGCGCTGGGTGCGCCACATCGACAACGCGCTCGTCATCAACGCGGGCGACGTCATGGAGTTCCTCTGCGGCGGCTACTACCCCTCCACCCGCCACCGCGTCGTGCTCCCGCCCGGGGACCAGCGTAACATCGCTAGGCTCGGCGTCTTCTACTTCGCGATGGCGAACGACAAGTTGAAGCTGAGCCCGCATGAGGAGAGCAAGGTGCTGCAGAAGCTCGGCATCAAGCGGCTTTGTCCCCCGGGCCAGGAGCCGACGATGGAGGAATGGCGCACGCGCCGCACGACGACGTACGGCGCGGTGGATCTGACGCAGGGGAAGGAGAAGAATGTGGAGGAGGAGATTGTGCACGGTGTGGTTGTGAAGCACTACAACTGAGGGGCGCATCTCGGCGATCTGATGTGCTCTGTACGATGGACTGGCGGACATTGGATGGATATGCTTTGGCGGTTGAGGGAGTTTGCTCTGACGGGGCGTTGTTCTTGTGACGGAGCGTTGTTCTTGTGACGGAGCGTTGTTCTTGTGACGGAGCGTTGTTTCTGTATGGGGTGCTGACGGGGCGTTGCTGTATGGCGGGGTGTGCTTTGTACGATATTTGACGATCTGTACGACGGTCTCTGACACTGTTTGTTGACAGTTGTACCATTGCTATGTTCATGACTCTCAGGTTGATGCTTCACAGGATGCTTGTGGTGGCTGGTATGGAGGCTTGTGAACGCTTATAGTGCTGAGGATGCTCTCGATGCGGATGATTTGTGTATTCGGCGAGACCTCCGGACCGTAAAGGACGTTCGAGGCATGCTTCATAGCACAACATGTGAGCCCAGCAAATATCGGGTGCTTAGCGCAGTGGTAGCGCGTTCGCTTTGCATACTTACTGTTCAATGCGAAAGGCCAGGAGTTCGATCCTCTTAGCATCCATCCGTGTCATCGAGAATTCTTTTTGGCCACCACTTGGCACATAGGTATTCAGTGATAAACGCCCATTGATCGCTGCATAACCATGTTCATCGTCGTATACTTGACAGCCTATACTCGTCGACACACTCAAGGACCTTCGGGGTCCCAGGTTTTAGCGGGAGCCCGTTCGTATCCGCGACTTCGGGCTGTACAGTTCAATCTCACCAACCGATTACTGACTTCCCAGCTCACCGTACCCTCGAGTCGGGCGTCAGTACGTATAATTTTGATCACCCGAGTCTCATTGCCAGCATCGACTTTGGCTGATGGAAGGTCTCCTACTGAGCGAACATGTCCAAAACTGGTTCACAACGCAGGGAGCAGCAGTGATCCGCCTATCCAGTAATGCAAAGAGAAAAAAGAAACTTGTAAGTATCTACACCACCTCCGCCCGCCACCCCTCCTCCTCGACATTAAGTTTGCGCTCATACGTCCGTCTAGCCTCATGGCCCGCAAAGCTGGCACCTAAAGCATGACAGTCAGTTAGAAATCCCAGCAGCCAAGGACAAGCAACGACTTACCCGCCAGCATCAGAATCAAGCTCAAATCGCCCAACCCAAGCGCCTCCGTCTGGAATATGCGCTGCAGGAACGGCACGTAGATGAAGGACAGCTGAGTCGTGAAGGAGACCGAGACCGATAGGGCGAGCATGCGGTTGGCGCCTACGGCGGACACGAGCGAGCGGTTTTGCACAGCGGAAACGAGATCGAGGAAGACGAAGGCGGTGAAGGTCTGCGGGAGAGGTATGGTCAGCACGAGAAGGACGGGTTGTCTTTGGCGGGGATATAAGTATGAAAGCGTGGGTATATATGAGAGCGGAGATATATGAAAGCGCACCATGGTCTGCTCCCGTCTGCTAAGCCCCGCATCCTCCAGCGCCCACAGATAGACGAGCATGACGCCGGTGATGATGAGCGACGCGGAGAATAAGATGCGGTACATCAGACGCTGCGTGATGATGGCCGCGTCCTTTTTGCGAGGTGGCTTGCGCATCACGGCGGGGTCGACGGGGTCGACGCCGAGGGACTGGGATGGCGGACCTGGAAGCAGCCATCTTAGCTGGTGTACGTTTTGGCTCTTTGGCGGACGACGTACCGTCCATGAGAATGTTAATGAACAGGATTTGCATCGCGTTCAGCGGGTTGCTCAAGCCGAGCAAGGTGCTCAGCGTGATGAGCGAGAGCTACGTTAAGAATAAGAGCACGGTCACATCTTGCAAAAGACACTCGACACGCACCGCAGCCACTGCCGTACTGAGCTGGAAGGCGATGAAGTTCTGGATGTTGTGGAAGATCGACTTGCCCTCCTCCACTGCAGGCAACAACGTGCTAAAGTTATCGTCCACGAGAATCACGTCCGCCGCCTCCTTAGCAACGTCGGTCCCGCTCTTTCCCATCGACACGCCGATGTCGGCCATCCGTAGTGCTGGCGCGTCGTTGACTGGACGTGCGTGTCAGTGTCAGGCCTGAGCTAGCGTGGACAGCAACAGAGTACACTCGCAGCGAAAGCATACACCCAAAGCGACAGGCTACACCCAAAGCGAAAGAGTTCACGCGAAGCGAAAGGGTACGCCCAAAGTGAATCATACGCAGTACAAAACGCACCTCCATCACCCGTCATTGCCACCACCTCCCCACACGCCTGGAACGCGGCGACGATCCGCATCTTGTGCCGCGGCGTCGTCCGCGCAAACACGCTCACCGCGCCCACGCGCTGCTGCAGCTGGCTCGGGCTCATCGCGTCGATCTCTGCGCCTGTGAGGATATGTGGCGAGCGTCCGGATCCTCCGTGACTCTGGAAAAATCACCGTCAGTCAACCATGACCATTAGCCAAAGCACGACCATTAGTTAAGCCTCCACAGTCAAGCCTCCACCCGTCAACCTCCACCCAGTCAACCTCCACCCAGTCAACCTCCACCCAGTCAACCTCCACCCAGTCAAACCTCCACCCAATCAAGCATCCCTCCAGTCAACCTCCACCCAGTCAAACCCCAATCCCGCCACGCTCAACAGACAAACAAAAAAACCGCACACCCCCCACTCTGCATGCAGCTTATGCCCGTCCAACTCACCATCATCATCTCCCTCCCCACCCCCAACCCCAGCTCGCCCGCGATCTTCGCCGCCGTCTCCTCCGCGTCGCCCGTGATCATCACCACATGCACCCCGCCGCGCCGCAGGAGGCCCACCGCGTCCGCCACGCCCTTGCGCGGCGGGTCGAGCATGGCGCAGAAGCCGGCGAAGACGAGGGATGGGGTGCTGGGGTTGAGTGAGGGCGTGTTGCTGTTGAGCGAAGACGCGCCGGCGTTGAGTGAAGACGAGCCGGTGGCAGCGACTAGGCCCTCCGTGCTCCCCCTGCCGTACGCCATAGCGAGCACGCGCAGCCCGCGGCGCGCCGCGTCTTGCGCGCGCGACATGATCGCCGCGCGCATGTTGCTGTCTGTGTATGGAGGGTCAGCTTCAGCGCATCGTTCTCCGCCACACAACAGATCGTTCTCCGCCGCAAAACAGATCGTTCTCCGCCGCAAAACAGATCGTTCTCCGCCACAGAACAGATCCTTCTCCGCCGCAAAACAGATCGTTCTCCGCCACAAACAGATCGTTCTTCGCCACAAAACAGCTCGTTCTCCGCCGCAAAACAGAGCGTTCTCCGCCACAACCAGATCGTCCTCCGCCACAAACGTAACGATGGAGAAACTCACCCATCCCCGGCGCCGACCCCTCCGCGACATGGTACGCACGGCACAGCGGGAGCACGGCCTCGATCGCGCCCTTCATGTATAGGACCTCGGGGGCTGTGGGGTGGCGTTAGTGAATGCACAACGTCGTAAATCCCCATCGTCGTAAGTCCCAATCCATCGTCGTAAGTCCCAATCCATCGTCGCAAGTTCCCATTCATCGTCGTAAGTTCCCATCCATCGTCGTAAGATCCCATTCATCGTCGTAAGTTCCCATCGTCATCGTCGTAAGTTCCCATCCATCGTCGTAAGACCCCATCCATCCTCGTAAGTCCCAATACATCCTCGTAAGTTCCCATCGTCATCGTCGTAGGGGAACGCGCAACCCAATCAAAAAAAAACAAAGAATCAAGAAAAACAAAGACGAAACCCCAACTCACCCGCCACATCCCCACCGGGCTCATCCGTATGCACCCCGCTCACCGCCATATACTTCGTCTCGCTCGAGAACGGCCGCTCCGAGTGCCGCCTGAAGGTCTGGGATAGATGGTCGTCAGTCCGTCGTCCTCCCTCCTTAAGCCCTCTCCGACTCCCTCCTAAGCCCTCTCCGGCGCCCTCCCTAAGCCGTCCCCGGCGCCCTCCCTAAGCCGCCCTCCCTAAGCCCGCCCTCCCTAAGCCCTCTCCGGCTCATGCTATCACACGGACAACGCCTCCTGCTACTCCCCACCAGCCAAACAACAGAAAAATGAAACTCACCCCCCTTCGGTCTCCCGCGTTCATCGTCCCCACACCACCACCCATCGCCCCTCCACCACCACCCATCGCCCCCACACCACCACCCATCGCCCCCACACCACCACCCATCAGCCCCACACCACCACCCATCGCCCCCACACTATCCGCCGCATTCAACAGCGCCACGTCCATCGCGTGGCCCACGTAAATCCCTTCGGCATTCCGCGCGGCAGACGCGTTGTTGCACAGCGCGCCGATTTCGAGGACTTTGCGGAGGGCGGGGGAGGGGCCGTCACGACTGGGCGTCGCACGGCCGGAGAGGTGACTGAGAGCAGACGATGGCCCCGAGAGTTGGCTGAGGGCGCCGACGTGGGGACCCGCGGGAGGGTACGCGGCGGGCCCCTTGCTGTGGGTGCTGAAGCCGACCTGGTGGTGAGGACAGCGAGGTGGCGCGTGGCGAGGACGGCGAGGTGTCGAGGGCGGCGAGGTGGCGAGGGCGGCGAGGTGTCGAGGACAGCGAGGTGTCGAGGGCGGCGAGGTGTCGAGGGCGGCGAGGTGTCGAGGGCGGCGAGGTGTCGAGGGCGGCGAGGTGTCGAGGGCGGCGAGGTGGCGAGGGCGGCGACGTGGCGAGGGCGGCGACGTGGCGAGGACCGCGTGGGCGGGAAGGGACGGACGGTGCCAGCGAAGTAGCGAGGACATCCATCAGCCCGTGTTGCAACATGAAGAACAAGAACTCGTACCTGCGCCGCACCCTGCAAAACCCGCCCATCCGCGTCCAGGTGCACAGTCTCGTCCACCGTGTAGGCCTCCACCACCGTCTGCTCGTTCTTCGTGAGGGTGCCTGGGTGGGTGGTGGGTTAGCGGGCGGTTATGGATGAAGGGGAGGTTGGAGGGTGAGGGTGAGCGGTAGATCGTGTTAGCGAGAGGGTGAGGGTGAACGCGTCAAGAACGAGACTCGTGCACGTCAAGGATGGGACTCGTGCACGTCAAGGGATGGGACTTGTGCACGTCAAGAAGAGGCGTGCGTGGATCAAGAACAAGGTGGATCAAGAACAAGGTGGATCAAGAACAAGGTGGATCAAGAACAAGGTGTATCAAGAGCAAGGTGGATCAAGAACAAGGTGTATCAAGAAGAGGCGTGCGTGGATCAAGAACAAGGAGGACCTCTCCACTCACCCGTCTTATCACTACACACCACGCTCACGCACCCCAGCGCCTCCACCGAGTGCAGCTTCTTCACGATCGCCTGCCGGTGGGCCATGCGGAGGACGCCCTGGGAGAGGCGGGGTGGTGGTTAGTGGGGTGTGTGTACAACGTCGGGCCAAACGTAACGGCGAACAAAACAAGCCAACCACTCTCAGCCAACCACTCTCAGTCAACCACTCTCAGCGAACCAAACTCAGCGAACCAAACTCAGCGAACCACTCTCAGCCAACCACTCTCAGCCAACCATTCTCAGCGAACCACTCTCGGCAAACAAAACCCAAACCCAAGACGAAGAAAAAAACCATAACGACGAGCCAAACAAAAAAATAAAACCCCACAACC